TTAGATTACTTTGAACATACTTTGAATGGTTTAGTTTCTATTATTTCCAGTCATAGAAAGTCCAAAATTCAGAAAAGTATCAGGCAACTAAAACATATTTTAATATTGATGGTTTTGTTACTTTGATTAAACAAGAGTTTTTAGATCATAATAGGTTAGATAGCAGAAGTGAACAATAACAAATAAGAGCAATTAAAAATTTAGAACAATTACAAATTTGTGATTTACAGTATATAGTTGAGTATACCACATATTTCTTTAAATATTTAGGAAGAACATGTAGAATTAAGTGATATTAATTTATTAGATACTTATATGACAAAAATAAAAGGACCAATAGGTGAAAAGATTTGGAATGAATGGTAAAAGCATTCAAAGAAGAATGATATTGCTATAAGACCTAGAATTCAACATGTATATGATATACTTAGACAAGAGTGTAGTCAAATAAAAGCTAAGAGACAAATTAGGAAACAATTTTACATGAGTTGTAAAAATATAGATTTACCACAACAGTATGGTTGCCATAAGAAAAATAAGCATAAAAAAATATGCAAAAAGAAATATAAGTCATATAAACCCTATAAACAGCATAAGAATTTCAGTATAAGACCTTCAAGAACATATAGGAAAAGAAAATATATTCCAAAATAATTTAGAAAAAGAAATGGCAGACTTTGGATTAGAAAATATAAAGCATCAAAAGATAAGAGTAGTTGTAAATGTTATTCATGTAGAGAAGTTGGACATATTAGACCTAAATGTCCAAAATTAGGTAAACAATCGAAAGAAAAAGTACATTTGATGGAGTTGTTTAAGTTAAAAGAAGATGAGGATATTCAGTCAATATACAGTTTAGATGATTTAAGTGATAATGAGAGTATTTATAGTATAGAGAGTATTAACATGATAGATTCAGACTCTGAAGATTCAAATAGCACAAATAGTGATCTAGAAGAGTATATGTGTGCATTCATGGAAGAACAACATGAAGAAGAATATAAATACATTAATTTAGGATGGCCAGAAAAATGTCATAAGTGTAGTAAATTAGTTGCAAATAAATACTATAATACATATTTAATATTATGTGAAAAGTGTTATAGTAATAGGTTATTAGAAGTTAATTTAGCAAAATTAACAGAATCACAAGATACAGAAATATTAGGAAATATTGTTCATAGTATAGAAAAACTAAAAAATAGTTCTTTAATTACCATAAATTGTGAAATAGAATTAGCAAAGGAACATAAGATACAAACCATAGCTATGATAGATACAAGAAGTACAAAAAGTGTCATAAGAGAAGAGTTAGTACCAGAAAAATATAGACAAAAATTAGCAAAACTAGTGAGAATAACACAATTTGATGAGAGACCAGTTTACTTAACACATTGTATAAATAATGAGTTTATTAAAGTAGAAAAACAACAATTTAATTTACCATTAACATTTGTTTCACCAGTATGATCATATCCATTTATTTTAGGTTTAAACTTTTTTGAAAAGTTTACAAAAGTTTTTTATTTATGAACCCTAACATAACATTTTGCAAAAGATGCATTACAATAACTGACCAAAGTAATATTGTAGAAGCATACAAAAGCATAAGTATAGAAGAGCCTAGTGGCCAAGATAGTTATCATTTAGAAAACTCAAAAGAAAATGATGAGCATAATAACGTAGAATAGTTTGATGAAGACATATTTGAACATAAATACCAGATTTTATAAGAAGGAAACAATATAGATATATGATAGTTACGTAAACCAAGGAGTTTAGAAGAATTATTACAATTAGCAGAACAAACTAGAATTATAGGAGAAGACCCACAGTTACATTGGAGTAAAAATAAAATACTAGCAAAATTAGATATAATTAACCCAGATTTAACCATTAAGACAGCTGATTTGCCTTGTAGCTTAATAGATAAACAATAGTTTGAGCAACAAATAAAAAAGTTGTTAAATTTAAAAGTAATTAGACCCTCAAAGTCTAGACATCGATCAGCAGCATTTATTGTAAGAAAACATTCATAACTAAAAAGAGGTAAGGCTAGAATAGTTTATAATTACAAGAGATTAAATGATAATATATATGAAGATAGTTATAAGTTACCAAATAAGGATGAGTTTATAAATAAAATTCAAGAGAGTAAATATTTTAGTAAATTTGATTGTAAATCAGGTTTTTGGCAAATAAGATTAGCAGAAGAATCAATCGAATTGACAACTTTTACTTGTCCAGAAGGACATTTTGAGTGGCTTGTTATGCCATTTGGACTTAAAAATGCTCCTTCAATCTTTCAAAGAAAGATGGATCAAATTTTCAAAAAATATGATAATTTTTGTAGTGTTTATGTAGACGATATTTTAGTACATAGTAAAATTAAAAATGAACATAGGAAGCATTTACAGATAGTATTACAAAAATTTATCAATAATGGAATTGTGATTAGCAAAAATAAAATAGCATTAGAAAAGCAAGATATAGAATTTTTAGGAATGTATATCAAGTTAGGTACAATACAATTACAAGATCATATAGCTAAAAAAATGTTAGAATTTCCAGACAAATTAAAAGATAAGAAACAGTTTCAAGCATTTTTAGGATTGTTAAATTATGCAAGAAATTTTATTCCTGATTTAGGAAGAAAAATAGCAGTATTACATAGTAAAACTAGCAAAACATGACAAAAATATTTTAATAGTGAAGATATTAAATTAGTTCAAAATATAAAAGAAGAAATTACTAAACTTAAGCCATTAACATTACCATTAGATGATAGTTACAAGATAGTTGAAACAGATGCTTCATGATTAGGATGGGCATGTATACTATACAAAAAAAAAGCATAAAGAGTAGCCAAAGTCTGAAGAACAAGTTTGTAGGTATTCATCAGGAAAATTTAGTGATGTACAGATTTAGAAATTTTAGGGATAATTAATTCACTTGAAGTATTTTCTTTATTTTTACATAATGAAGTATTTATAATTAGAATTGATTGTCAAAACATAATTTCTCATTATAATAAGATACATGCTAATAAACAGGCAGCCCGAAGATGGGTTAATTTTGTTGATTCAATTACACGAAATGGTTTTAAACCAATTTTTGAACATATAAAAGGTAATGACAATACATTAGCCGATATCTTATCAAGATTAATTTGTTGAACAGGCATGGAATATTGTGGACCATCATCAGCAAAATAGCACAAGGTCGCAAGGCAGAAGAGCTTCTTTCAATAGCATAATGATGCACCATCAACCATCAACCTTCACCATTCAGTGGATTTCAAAATAGCATAAGCAGACCAGCTTCACCACTAGTACCTACTTTCAACTTTAATGTCAATATTGTTGAAGGAATCAGAAATCCAACACTGAGATATAGGTCAAGAGCACCAGGGCTTTCTGATAGGCAACATGTTCTCTTAGATAATTTTTGGAATATCCAAATCAAGCAACCAAGCATGAGGTTAGGTCATGAAAAATTAATTAGAGCTTTGGAACAAAAGTTGATAGTTTTAATTTTAATTTCCATCAAAGCCAGCATCATATTCATTCTCTTGAGCACAACCTTCAAGTCATCTCTAGAGAACACAAGTCTTTACTCAGTAAGTTTACCAAAATGAACCAAGAACTCCAAGCTCTTAGAATGCAGTAAAAGGCAAGTGACATCCTAAAAAGAGAATTGAAAATAGGTTTAGAAATTGATCATCATAAGAATAAAGGAAAAGAGGTTATTGAACCCATAAAACAAGAGGCTAATGAGCCCATAAAAGAGATTAAGATTGAGCTCTTAGAAGAAGACATTGAAATGGAACAGCATCAAAATAATGAGCAGCATCAGAATCTGAGTGACAAAAACAAAAAAGAATAATATAAAAGTTTTCTTAGGAATATATTTTTAGACTTAATATTAGATGATATTTATTAGAAGAAATTTCAAAAGCAAAACTAAGAATAATGCCAACAGATATGCAAAATGAGATCCTGAGTAGAGCACCACAGTCTATGAAAGAGTTATAATTACAATTACAATGCGCCTTGTATCAGTCCATCTTTGATCCAAAACTAGGGATGTATATTATTACAAAGATGTATCCTCCATGTATTTGTAATAGTACAGAGAATTGTATTTGTAAATCAGAGATTAGCATAGTTGTAGCCATGATTAACATGAGAGATTTTAGACGATGGCATTTTAGTTATGAGCATCAGAAAAAACATAATGTGGTAGAAGTTACCCCTGCCTTACTATTAGAGTTTGGTTATCTTGATAAAATATTCATTAACCGTATTTCCCATCTAGAATCATTTCCTGAAAAACTTATAAAAGTAGCAGAAGATTATCTGGAAAGGTCGAAAGAAATTTGCATAAGCTTTATTAGTAGTCTTCCAGATTGGTATGTACATATGCATAAGGAAAAAGCTAGGCATATAGCTATGATTAATAAAGAGTTATTTATACTATCTCCTATATCCTCACATAGGTGGACTCATTCATACAAAGATATTTTAAAATTTAGAGGGATCCAAATGTTTGCCTTAGATGAGTTTGAAAATTTTAGGTATGATATGATATTAGTAGCAGAGGAAGAAGAGATGTATATTTACAGCAAGACAAGGATCATTCATCAGCATTATTGAAAGCCTCAAAATTTTAAAGAAGAAACAGCATAAATGTACTACAAGGTGAAAGAAGATAGAGAAAGAGATGCAGAGCTAGTAGAAGGCGATAACAATACTGGAATAATTTGACAAAAGAAAAGCTGCATAACATCGACAACATGATGGAAGCATGAAGAGTTGGCTGTAAATTAGCATAAGTTTAATAGCATAATTAAAATAATGTTTTCCTAGACAGAAATGTCAAAATAATTGTGAACCCTGTTGTAATAGCATAAGAGTAAATAAAGAAAAAAACCTGATCCGTTATGAACTTTTTATACACAAAATTAAAACTCCTTTGATTTCATTGAACACCGTTTTTGGTGTCAAGACCTAATAGCCACCAGACAGCCACGAAATGTTTACAAGTCGGTGGTAGAAATTTTAAATTATTTAATAGAGTCAGCTCCTAATTAATTTAATCTTTATGTGCCTATGTCAGAAAAGATGCTCATTGTTATCGGTGTCCATATTCCAAATTACTTTTTTTTTAAAATGGGCGCTAATCCTGAGCACCCAAATTCTGAGTTCAAATTTATAATTTATGTTTTTAGAGATTACAAATCTTGGATAATTTGAAGCCTTGGTTAGTTTTAATTGCTTCCATCCAAGAAAATGAGGAGTACTGCCACATTATTCATAATCAACACCTGCACCGCATAACAAAAACACACCAAAAAAAAAAAAAAAAAATTGATTTTAGGACAAATTAAAATGGAAGATTAATATAATAAGTTCAGTAAGAGTAGAAATGGAAATTTATCTTAGTAAATTCATGTGATTTGAGAGAGAAAAAATAATCCTTACAGAGAGTGTTTTATTTCAACACTTTCTAGGCTTCTCCCAGTTTTTGTGAATCAACGTCTTCTGGGACTTTGGACCTTTGGTTACTTGGCAAACTCTGTATACAACAACAAAGAGAACAAGATTTAGTTGTTAAAAAAAGATGTATTTTGATATGGGTTCAAAGTAAAAAATTGGATTTATTTCAAAAGTTAAAAGTCACTAAAAATTAAACATATTTCAAAAGTAGATCTATAAAATTAGACCTATTTCAAATTTTCCCTTAAAAAAATTAGAGAGGGAGAGAACTAACTTAATGAATTAATAACTGAGTTTGATTCACCATCATGCACATCTCATATAGACAACCAACTTCAACTTATCTACTATCACTTCTATGTAATCCATATAACAAAACTCACCAAACCAATTTTCTAGTCTCAAACGCCCTAGTATGTTACGTACACACCTACATGCACCAGCTTCCAAACTTCATCGCATGACACCAGCCTCCGAGCTGTGAACCTTCAGCACAAATAGAAATAGAAAGTTAATAATTCAGAAAAAAAAAATATAATGGAGATTGTATCTCAACGAGTTCATCTCCTAGTCCTAACAACTCCTAATCCCCAACAAATCGGATCCAAAACTTCAAGATCTAATGTTTGATTAAGAGAAGGAAGGGTGATGGGGAAGAAAACGGGAGAAAAGGAAGTAGATGTAGAAAACTGATGGGAATATGGAAAGTATGGGGTTGAAAGAAAGGAGCTTCAAGGTTGAGATTGAAAGCAAAATCGGATCTGAAAAAGAGGAAAAGGAAAGAGCTCTCGCACAGAGAGAGAGAGAGAGAGAGAGAGAGAGAGAGCTCCCACAAAAGGAGAGAAGAGCACTCACAAACGAAGAGAAAAACTCTCACCAACTCCTCTGTAATCCAAAATAAAACAAAGGGGGGAGTGAGAGTCTTGAGGAAAAACACAAGAAGAGGAAAAAAGGAAGAGAGATGTCCATGGTGACGAGAGAGAGAGAGAGAGTGTTCGAAAAAACAAAGGAACACTAATGAAAATGATTTGAAAACTTTGAGTTTTAACGATAAGGATAAAATAAAGGGTAAAATGAATTGTATCAGAGAGAGAAAGAGAGTGCGTGTGTCCGAAAAAACCAAAGGAAAACTAATGAAAAATGTTTGAAAACTTTGAGTTTTAACAATAAAGACAAAATAAAGGGTAAAATGAATAGTATCAGGATTGACTTTTTAGTGTAAAAATGTGATTTTTCATTAAAGTGAACAATATCGAGAGTTTTTCATTAAAGTTCCCAAAAAACAAAGGAGAAAAAGGAAAATGAAGAGAGAGAGTTAGCTGATTGGCTTTAGGCATAATATATTGACAATTAAAAAACTTAATAATTATTATTTGACATTAAAAGAATCTAATAATTATTATTTTGCATTAAAAAGCAAAATAATGAACACAAATTTGAAGAATGACACTATACATCGGTGTTGGAATTGTACATGATTATATATACATCAAAATGAGAATAATACAATTAACACATTCAAAGCATTCTCTTCTGCAAGTGCTAGAAAAGCTTTGTGGGCAATGTAATCGTGCCTAAAACAAATTTTGTACACTTGAATGATTTTTCAACTAAAACCGACTTCTAGATGAAATTTGACATAAGGCCAGTTTGAGACAAAGGCTAAGACACCCAAGATTGCTGTGTTAAAGTTTCAAAATTTTCTACAAAGCCAATCTTTCTAGTTTTACGTACGAAAACAATTGAAGCTGCATTCTCATCAGAACTATGCAGCTATGGGAAAACGAAGATTTCAAGGCCTTCTTGTTTTCTCCCAATGACATTCCATATATGCTTGGAAAGATACGAAGTGTAGTTACAATGTTCATATTTTTCCAAAATTTTCTAAGAGACATAATGGTCTCAAAACGGGCACGGAATGCAGCCAAATAACAAGTTAGCATAAGTAGCGCGTCACAGCGGCACCTCAAACTTCCCAGATTAAATGTACTTGATTGAAGCAAACTGAGTTTCATGCCATACATCATCAACGAAGATACGGATGTCATCTTTTTGTACAATTTTACAAAACTCAATTATGTGCTACGTGGAAAGTGTTATCGCCGTTTTACCACTTATAGCGTAGGTTGGACTTCTCTGCGGAATTCATCAAGTTCTTCCTCTGTACTTGTATCAAACGACATACAACATGCCGCAACCACTTACAAGTTCAGGATGCACACAGTCATGATCAAGTCAACGGTTAACCTAAGGATTCTAACTAATACAAGTCTGCTTTGATAAGCTAAAAAAAATCACCAGCAAAGCGCTGCATGACAACTCCACACTTGTCCTCCTCCACTACTAGCATGTAATGGAAAAGGAATGGGACATATCATATGGAGTAAGAAGAAAAATTTCATAAATTTAGATAACTTCTAGACCACGTGGTGGTTATGGTTATGGATTCCCACACATGAAAAAGTTTGAATGGTGAATTACTCTGCCTTACTCTAAAACTATTCGAAGTAAGGTAGATCAAGGTAAGAACGCCTTCGTAGTCTACTCATGGACTAAACAGCTTTCACCTTGAAGTTGCACAAACAAAGCAATGATGCCACCATCATCTTGCTTCGGAGCCTCACTGAGATTGATCATGCTTGTACTGCAAGATATGGAGACCTAATCTAACCAGGAATCAATGAGTTTCCTATGATCTTGGAATCATTGCAATCTAAGGATTGACGTGCACCACAAATAGTCACACTCCTAATAGGATGTAATATCTATTCCTATATATCCTCTAGAAATCTCAAAGGCATCATTGAAGACGAACGAGGAAAACAACTTGAAGGTCCATCCAACAGGTGAACAACCTTGGTCCAAACCATGGTAATACTCCAAGAGATACGTATTTTTAATTATTTAATTATATACATGATTAAATACAAGTTCATGACAAGAGACCCAAAGATGGGAATAATCTTTTCTAGATCATCGCCATTGTTTGTTCTTTCTTACACCATTCACTGCAATACCTAACACTTCATTTTGATATTGATTGTGAAATTGCATTGCGGTGTTAGAAGATGGATAGCTATACTAAATTGGTATACTCTAAAAACACCTTGGTACATATCTTATGTTAGGTCGGTTGCAAAACATCTTGTTTGTTGAAATACTTCCTACAAAAAGTTTTTCCATTGAACTAGGAAGGTAAAGGAAGAAAGTGGGTTTGAGTGCAAATTCCTCATCCTCAAATTACCTATTTTCGAGGGTTGTTGTCCCTAACTAATTTAATTGTAGGAGTTAAATCTTATTATAATTCGAAAAAACAAGAGCAGCAAATCCAAGAAAATATAAATATGTATTTTTGGATTAAAGGGATTCACAAATAAAAGAGCATGGAATAACCTAAATTCCAAAATTTTGAAGAGCTTTGAAACTTCACTATATCACAAGTTTAAAAATTAAAAGTTATAGTCTCGGAGGAGTGTCATAGGCGTCTTGTTTAGCCCATTCTGTGTTGTTCAGTTAGCAGCTTCAGAGGTTCTAGCCGTAATTATGATTGGCGATCTACGGGGCACAGACACATGGTGCCTTAACCCGGAAGTCTAGTGCATCATCCGGCCCTTAGATAAATTATGCAACCATAAAGGTTGTTTGTAACATTCAAACCTGGGCTCTACACCTTTCGAGAGAATAATCGAAAGAGCGATCCATAAATCATTTGAAGGTGGTTTTGAACTCCAAATTTGAGTACGACTACTTATATCCTGGACCAGCGTACTAAGCCAAGTACGTCCTGCAACACTATATGTTAAGTAGGTTTGAATAAGGCATCCAAACTAGAAAATCCTCAAGAGGAATTTTATTCCAACGGAGCTGTTGAGTCCATGACCAGACTTCTGAAGTAACGATATTCAGATCAACCTTACTCTAGCCTAAAAAAATCATGATCCCACATCTTTTATCATAGTATCACCTTTCATTACAACACATGAGACAACTACAGAGTCACACAAAAGAAAAAGAGAATCAATCAAAAGTGCTCTTTTTAAGAGTGGCTAAAATAGTTTACACCATACTTAACAATATCTTTTGTTATATTTAAAATCAATTTTTATCTAATATACATTTATTTTTATCAATCTTTGCTATATATTTAAAATAGTGAGGCAGAAGAAACCTCAAATGAAAATTCACAAGAGTTTGATTACGTCCTTATCAAATCGCTGAAAAAAAGTCCTCTCCAACTCAAGAAAAAAACTAGGTAATCATACTTTATCCTTATTTTCTATACAATATAAATCTATTGATATGCAAATTCATTGCATGTATTTCAATATTTTATTTTTTTCCTTGCTTAATTTGTTTTCTTGGCAATGAAGAGAACTGTAGGAAAACTTTTGGTATTCCGGTGAACAACTTTTGTCATCTTTTATCAATGTAAATGAAACAATATTCATTAATACTTTTTGCATGTAAATAGCATAACGTTTCGTAGTTTATATATATATATATATAAGTACTACTATTAATTGAAAGCCACATAAACTATCTAAGTGGAATGTGTCGATCTAATATTTTTTGCACATAGATAGAGAAAATGTATGATCTTTTGTATGGGGACTATATCAATCAAATCTGTTGAATGTAAAATGTTCATAGCTTTCAATGTAAACAATATTAATCTTTTATATCTTTTGGCATAATTTTTAACACAATTCTTAATCCCATAGGAACCCACTGGCTACAATTTCTAGTGTATACTGCATACAAAGAAGAAACTAGAGTTGGAAGACATAACAATTTGTAATTCATTGGTTTCTTTTTTTTCTTACAGGAATAAAAGCTAATGGCATGACACGCAAGTAATCCATAGTGTTGAAATTACATTCTCACCTACAAGCATCCCTTAGGTGAGAGAGATTTGGTCTTCCTTGTTCATCTATCCTTCTCATCAAGCATTTTTGAAAGGTGTTATGTTCTTTTGGTCACAAGGTAACCAACACTCATGTTCCTTCACTGTTGGGATTTAATACTAAGAGATGAAATTAAAACCTTAAAATTACATTAATTTTTCTCCAACCCTTAGTACTGAATCCAAATGAAAGTGATGATTCATTTTTTATTGTGACTAGGTGAACATTTATGCTTCGAATGAGGCTTTGTGCTAGATTATTTGGTATAGAGTGATCTCTCTTTCTTGAGAAAATTTAAATATAATAAGTTCTATATAATTACTTCGCGATGAGAGAACAAGAACAGTGTTGCATACAAATTCCAATCATATATTTACTTCTGAGACGCTTTGTTTGATTAATGATAATTTTTAAGTGTTACTGATACACGTAGTGTTATTAATCCTCTCATGTTATAGTTATTAATTTTCATACAAATTCCGGTGATATACTATCAAGGACGAAGCTACAGAAGGGCAAGAAGGGTGGTTTCGCCCATCTGGTCTCGTCGGAAGTTCTGGGTTTACTACAGTTCTGGTTTCCTTGTTGCTGAGCAGCTTTGCTGTGCGTGAGGGTTTAAAATTTTTTTTGGTAAGGTTAGGACAAAACGACGACGTTTAGGTCCTGGTTAATTCTTTTTTAGAAAATTCCCATTAGTCGGATGGCACCGTTTCATTGGCTAGTTAAATATTTTTTGAAAATTCCCACTTTCGAAACCAATCAAATAGCAATACCAAGAAGTTGTGCTCCCAAAATTGGAATTCAATTTTTGCCCCTTCAAAAAGTCAAAGGATCTCTCCAAACCACAAACTATAAATCGATATATGCCTATAAGAGCAGTTCCACCTTGTCTAAGGCTCCATCGGGCTATCCACTATGATATCCACTGAGTGAACAGTAACTGCCTTTTGCATCTCCATCCTTACACTAAATAGCCCTGGAATAAAATATTTTTTTCAAAT